CCTCAGAAAGAGAAGGTTTCCTCCTCCTCTTCCTGGCCGGCCGGTGATAAAGCGCCGGCCCTTCACGAGATCGTTCCCGGCCCCTGCTTCTAAAGAAAGACTTCAGAGTTGAAAATCCCCCTTCAATTCCTGGTCGATGCGAGCACATTTCGATGTACGTTTGCTTGATAATGGAGAAGCACATCAAGGCCATGAAGAAAGACTGTAGCTGGGGGGACGAGGTCGTGGAACAGAACTCCCACCTCGAGGAGAGAATTACCACTCATATGGAGGGGTTTCTAAGTGTTTACACTTACCTCTTCACACTGGGTCCTCTAGATCCAGTCGTGATCGACTTCTGCAAAATATATCAAGTCATCCTCGGCCAAATCGATCCTTGTTTCTGGCGTATAGTCAATATGCTTCGGTACTTCTCCAGCATTTTTTAGCCCGAAGGCATTACATTGTAATAGTATGTTCCAAACTTAGTGATAAACGAGGTCCTCTCCTGGTCCTTCAGGTTCATTTGAATTTGATTGTACCCGGAGTAGGCGTCGAGAAAGGTAACGATCTCGTGGCCGGCCGTGGCATCGATCATGCGATCGATGTTAGGCAGTGGAAAGGAGTCTTTATGGCATGCCTTGTTTAAATCCTTATAATCTACTCACATTCTACGTTTGTTCCCCTTTTAGGGACTAGAACTACGTTGGCTAACCATTCCGGGTATTTTACCTCCTGAAATAGACCCTATTTTAAGAAGTTTAGTTACCTCCTCCTTTATGAACGCATGTTTCACCTCGGACTGGGGCCTCCTTTTTTGCTTTAATGGTTTGAACCTGGGGTCGAGGCTCAACCGTTGTGTTGTTATTTCAGATGGGATCCCTGTCATGTCTAAATGGGACCAAGCAAAACAATCCATGTTATCGATAAGAAATTGAATGAGTTTTTTCCTGAGTTCGGGGGTTAACCCCGTTCCCAGGTATATCTTTCTCTCGGGCATATACTCGATCAGTATGACCCGTTCCAGCTCCTCGACTGTTGACTTGGTTGCATCTGACTCTTCGGGAACAACAAAAGTTCGAGGGGTAAGGAAATCCTCTTCTTCTTCTTCGATTACCTATTTCTCCGATTCGGTCGAGGCTGGGGACGGCGATTGCTATTTGGCTGTCTGCTTCTCTTTGGTGCTCAATTTTTTCGAGGTCGAGGCGCTGGTATCGGTGTCACCTCATCGACTGCGAACATTTCCTTTGCAGCGTGTTGTTCCTCGTAAACTGTTTTCACACCATCCACTGTTGGGAATTTCATCATCTGATGAAGGGTTGACGGTACTACCCTCATGTTTTGGATCCATGGCCTCCCGAGTAGCGCATTATATCTCATATCGCCTTCAATGACATGGAATTTTGTATCTTGGATGGTCCCGGCCACGTTCACTGGTAGGATTATCTCCCCCTTCGATGTTCCGCTTGCCATGTTGAAGCCGTTTAGGACCCGAGATGCAGGCACAATTTGGTCCTGTAGGCCGAGCTGCTCTACGACCCTCGATCTGATTATGTTTGCTGAGCTACCTGGATCCACTAGAACACGTTTAACTTGAATTTTATTTAACAAAATAGAAATTACCAGGGCGTCATTGTGTGGCTGGAAATGCCTTCCGCTTCCTCGTCATTGAACGATAGGATGCCCTCAGGGACATAACTCCGAGTCCGTTTTGCTCTGGTAATTTACACCTCGGCACGTTTGAATATAGGCCCTTGTGGAACATCGACTCTGCCAACGATCATATGAATTACATGTTGCGGTTCTTCCTGCTCATTTTTCTGTTTGTTTCTCTTTCTCTGAAGTGATTTTTAGCTCGATCACTGAGAAACTCTCGAAAATGACCCTCGTTGAACAATCGAGCTACCTCCTCCCTCAGCTGCCTGAAGTTTTTGGTCCCATGGCCATGTGTGCCATGGTATTTACACATCAAGTTTTGGATTTCTTTGAGAAGGATCGGCTTGTATAGGTCTGGGCCACCTGGTGTCTTTGATCCTTCCAATAGCCGATACGATGCATCGACACTAAAATTATACTCCCATAACCGAGGTGCTTCTGCGGGATCGGTATGTTTATCAAAACCATTTTTACTCATAAGTCCCCGAGAATTCTGTCCTGGATCGTTTCTTCGATCATTCCGAGGAGGATTGCGCCTCGAGCCGTTGTTTCTTCGATCTGCGACGTATGGCTGATATGGTTTCGTATTTGATCTTGGTTCCTTGTTTGTATCTCTCGGGGCCTTAACTGCTAATATATTTGGATGAACTGAGCCTGAGGGGGCTTCAGCTGGTCGTCCTCGACCCTGATCTTCGATTGGTAATGATTATGCACATCTGCCCAAGTTACAGCTGGATACTCGATCAGCTTTTGCTTCAACTGTCGAGACGCGATCGAACTCCGCTCGTTCAACCCCTATGTAAAAGCTTGCACGGCCAAATCATATGAGACCGGTAGTAATTCCATTCGCTCCATTTAAAATCGAGATACGAACTCCCTTAGCATCCTATCACCCCTCTGTCTTATCTTGAAAATGTCTGATTTCCTTGTCGCAACCTTTGTAGCCCCGGTGGGCCTTTACGAAGGCATCTGCTAACATAGCAAATGAATCAATGGAATTCGGTGGCAAGTTGTGATAACAAATCATTTCTCCTTTTGAAAAAGTTTTCCAAAATTTTTTCAACAAAACCGACTCGATCTCATCATCATTTAAGTCGTTTTCTTTGATCCTGCATGTGTACGAGGTGATGTGTTCATTAGGATCGCTCATCCCGTTGTACTTAGGTATATCTGGCATACGGAACTTCTTGGGAATGGGCTTCGGATCTGCTCTCGGAGGGAATGGCTTTTGTACGATTTTTTTGGCATCCAAACCTTTCAAGACTGGGGGTACCCCCGGTATTTGATCAACATTATACGTCTCCACTTTTTTGTCATTATCCTCAATCTTTTTCTCCCCCGACTCGATTCTTTTGGTGAGTTCCTCGAGCATCCTCATAATTGTGGGATCAGTCCCCGAGCCATTACCGTTCGATCTTTCTGGAACCGGCTCAGTTCGGCGAGTAATTTTTGGTTCGGCCACACTTGGAGTTCTATGCTGACTTTGAAGTTGAGCGATAGCAACCTGTTGAGCTTGTAGCATCTCGAATATTACTTGGAGGCTAAATCCCCCATCTCCTATACCCTGTGTTCCTTGACCACCGGATCGGACTTCCCTGCGTACACTTCCTCCGAGGTCTGTGACTAAATCCGCCTTCAAAGCGATGTGTGAACTAACATCGACTGGTTCCACTATTGGCACTTCTCCAAGGTTAATCGGTGGCACACCGGCTCCTACATTGTTATTTTTCCCATGAAATTCAAGACCATCATCGCCGTGTGTGGGTGCGTTTTGTGAGTTTGACATGTTTTAACCTGAGAACAAAAATTCTTGACAATAACAAGTGTGAAAATAACGTGTGTTATCAGGATCAATACTGAAATATCACTATTATCTTTAGCCCCACGGTGGGCGCCAAACTGTTTACCTCGAAATACGAGTAACAATTAAACTTGTTTGTGATTTTAATGATTCGTGATTTAATTCAATACTAATTAATAACCAAAAAATCAAACGTATGACTTAAAGAAGTAAGTTGAATCAAACCAGTGCTTAAGCAAGTCTTAACCTCGAGCTATGATGGCCTCGAGGTAAGTCAACAAAAACAGTAAAGTAAAGACAATAAAGTTAAGAAACAATCTCATGAGTAATGAGCAAGAAAGTAAGAGAGTATATTCTTTTGCCAATAATTGATGATGCGTTACAAGTTATTGGTGTTCCCTTTATATATTAGGGGAACCCTAAGTAGGCGTTTGGACATAAGAATCGTAAAATTCCAAAAAATGGTGAAAATTTTTTTCTAGCGAAAATGGTATTTGAAATTTAGAGTTGTATTTGGACATAAAATTCAGTTTGGGTTGTTTTTGAAGTTTTGTGAGTGATTTGAGTGAAAATTTTCAAAAATAGCTATTTGGAGTTTTTCAAATTTTCGAAAATTTCCAAAATGCATTTTCAAGTGAAAATTGGAAATTTTATGAACAAACGGTGATTTCGAAAAAAAGTGAAATTTTTTTGAAACAAAGAAATTTTTTTATGTCCAAACGGGCTCTAAATAAGGTACATTTTCATTTTCAGTAAGGAATCTTATTGGGACAGCTGTCTAACCGCCTAGTATAAATCCGTACTACCTCGTACAAATCTATTCCGAAATTTACGCCGTGATCTTAGGGCCCTCCCGAGAATCTCGCTCTTTCTGTTATAAAACCATAAAAGTATTATCTCGAGGTTGACCATACTCGGCTGCGATGTTCCTCGAGCACTTAGATCTTCGAGTCTCGTATTCAGCCTTCGAGCTCGAGCTCGGTCCATATTGATCTTGTTCTTGATGCAACCCCTCGAACTTACAAAATCGGAAACACATGACTTTGATCATATATTCTCTAAAACATAAGGGAGCAAAATGCTAAAGAAGTTTGTGCAATAAAAACAATTCTAAAAAGTACATTTACTTATGATAGTTAAGTTGGCCAATAGACGCAATGTACTATAGCCATTAGATTCCACCCTTGAATCCTCGAGAAACAGCCACTTGTTTTATCGCATACCACCTGCTGTATTATATATATACTCCTCAGTCGCTAATTTACAATAATTGAGGCTTTTATATAGTTTTTCTAGAGGTCTAAATAACATTAAATATAAGGGCGGTCTCTACTCAACCAATCAAATAAAGACATGAAGTTGACAAAGTATTATTCTGGAATCTGGACACTAGTAAATTTCTGATTTGTGGTCTAAATAATGTATTGATATTTGCGTGTCTATAAATCATCTCATTAAAATTAAATAGTTTCCAATATTTTTATTTGAAGCGGAGGGAGCGTAATATATTTTTATTCTGTATATAACTTATGAGTTTATTTTGATTAAATAATGGTCCATCCATCTATATATAAGAAGCTCCACCACTTGCTTGCATTCCTCCCCCACTCTCCAATTCTTTACAAAACAATGAAGAAGTCATCTGCAGTATATTACAGTGGATGTGAAGAACACGAATATCAACCCCATTTCCTTGATGCTTGCTTTCTTTGCCGGAGACCCTTGGCTCACAACACTGACATCTTTATGTACAGGTTAGATTCATATAATCATCATCTTACCTTATCTCTTTTTCTGTTTAGATCCCTTTTCTTTTGGGACATGGGATGGTCATTCTATTTTAACCAATATAACAAAATTACATTAAAGCAACTGACTCTTTACCCACTTAATTAAATAATTTAAATTTATTTTGACTGCAGAGGGAACACACCATTTTGTAGCCAAGAATGCAGGCAAGAGCAAATGGAGATGGATGAAGCCAATGAGAGAAAATGGAAGCTTTCTTCTAAGAAATCCTCAAAAAATACACACAGAACTAAAACTGAAATCCCCGCCAAGGAAACTGACACAAATAAAGCTGTACGGACTGGCACAGTTGCTGTTTCCTGAATCTTTCAATACTCTATATTCTTATATATGGACATGAATTATTATGAGGCTACAACTCAAACAAAATTAAAAAGGAAAAAAGACTGCTGCTGCAAGTCATTTGAAAATGATTTCGACTACAAAATCATCTGTAAATTAAAGACATGATGGGAATCAAGAAATCAATTTTGAATCCTTACTTTTTTATTTTTCTAATTTTTCCTTTCGTTAAATCTTGTGGAATATGTCTGTAAAATGGGCATCCATATTTGGGATGGTTTGAAATGTCTTATCTCCTATCTTCACAATCCTTGCTTTCATATTATAAGCTAATCCGAGATTCCGAGGTCGTGAAATTATGAAATATGGTTCATTTAGTTCTTTCTAGTATTATGCATCCAGCCGGTGATGTGGTCCATGATGTTTTTTTTTTTTCTTGGGTGGCAAATATCATGAGTTATATATGTTGATCCATAAAATAAAGTATTTTAACATGTAAAATTAATCCAGTCTAGAGCTCCATTTAAAGTTGTTTCCAATATTAGGTGTGGTCCATGATGAGCTGTTTTTGAAAATCATGAGTTAGGAGGTTGATACACAAACTAATTAACGATAAAAGTGATGTAAAACGGTGGAAAAATACTAACTTTATCGTTGGTCTTCCAATCTAATCAAGTTAAACTTGATGCAATTTGTTTATATGATCCATAGTGTATTATGGAATGAAGCATTTATTTTAAAAGATTTTAATAAGTACTAGGAGTAGTATATATTGGTAACATAATAGATATAATCAAGATGTTCTTTGAGTGTTTTGTGCAAATCGCAGCAAGTTTTTTAAAAAGACGAATTTTAAGTTGTCACGTTTCTCTTTTCCAAAATTAATTTGACATCTTCAAAGCAAAATTAAATTAAATTGATTTAATATTTTAAAAATTAAAATTAAAATATTTAAAAACTATATAAAAAATACTACAAGTTATAATTCTTTTCATGTCTATATAATAAAAAATATTTATCAAAATTCACATAACTTAAATCTCGAGACGCGAAACAAATGCTTTGGGACAAAAGAATGCGTACTTGGCTATAAAGTGCGCGTTATTTGCTTATCTCATTACTTATTACTATATACAATTGAAATCAAACCTCTGCCCCACCCCTAAACCTCACAAACCTCAAAACTCACACCCTTCTTTCGAAAGCAAACAAAAGAAATTTTAGAAGACGGGGAATTGAACCAAAGAAAGTTCTTGTGTTCCATGTCCAGGTTCATTGTACCATACATTTCATTTTATTTAAAAATGTTAGGGTTGTAGGAGGTAATCTGCAGCTGACTCTTAGAAGAAAAAGAAAAAAAAAAGACAATTCCTTCATCAATTACAAATGTTCTTGATTAACTATTACTAGGTGGTATGAGTCACTCGTCTATTTTGTATAGAGACTTGCACGTGTTTCGTTAATAGTTCCTCTCCCGGACAAGATAAATTGAGCCCCACATCTTATTACTCTATGTGTTCTCTTGAATGAGGTTGGGCTAAGCCACTTTAGAGATAGGGGCGACATTTTTGTAATAGTAATTGTTAATGAGCTAGGGATGGCAACTAAAAAAACTAGGGCGATTGACCGCAATAGATTGAGTTGCTTTCATTTTAATTTGTTATGGAAAGTGAAAGCCATTACCTAATACCTAAACCCAGCTCTCATCTGGCATTTAATTTTTGACATATAAAATGTAACCCGTTCAATTTGTCTTAATCTCAATTAAACGAAATGGCTGATAACTTGTTGCTTATATCAATCCAACTTTCACACTATTCGGCGATGTCTGTCGTTTATTCCTTCAATCATTTTAATCCACTTATACTTAAAACAAGCACATATTGACATCTTATGAGTGTTGATTTTAACTCGTGTAACATGTTCAAATTTAAGTGGAGCGCATTGAGTTATAACATTTTAGTCCACTACTTGAATTTATGGACCTGAATTAGGGTTGTTGTAACGATCCGATGAGCATTTGCATTTTGTTCTGTGGTTTGAGGTTTTGAGTAACTTCATATGATGTATTACGACTTGCATGCATGGTTGGTTTTGAATATTTGAAAGTTTGGGATTGATTCATAAGAGTAATTCTCAATCTAGAAGCTTTATATTGGAAGGGTTGACAAAGGTTGGACTTGTGAGTAACACGCCTCGGATTCGTGTTTTGATGGTTCCAATAGGTTTGTATGGTGATTTTAGACCTAGGTGTATGTCTGAATTTGTATTAGGAGGTTCCTATGATGATTTAGCTCTTTTTGTCGGAAGTTGGCAATTAAAAGGTTTAGAAAGTTCACAAGTTTGACCGAAAGTTGACTTTGATGGTATCAGGTTTGGATTGGAGTTTCGGAACTTGGAATAGGTTCCTTTCGTTATTTGGGACTTGTGTGCAAAGTTTGGATTTATTCCATATAGGTTAGGCTTGAATTGGATGCTTGGATTGAAGTTTGAAGTTTATGAACTTAAGAAATTGATCTTGATCTATGATTCGTGATTTTGATATTATTTTGTATGATTTGAGGCATCGAGTAGGTCCGTGTTAACATTTTGAAAATTGTTGGCATGTTTGGACGGGGTCCCGAGAGATTCGGGAGAGTTTCAGATTTGTTTCAAATTGTTTTTGCCAAGTTGAGCTATGCTGGTTCTGGTTTTCTCGCATTTGCAATGAGGAGGTCGCAAATGCGACTATCGCATTTGCGAGTGCGTGGTCGCAATTGCGACTGATGGCTGCTGTGAAGGGACTTTGCATTTGCGAGAATTTCATCGCCTTCACTTAATTTTGATTTTACACAAATTTTTACACTAAAATCATGAATTTTTCACTATGTTTTAAAAAATAAGGTTTGAGAGTCGATTTGGACTTGGTTTTGAGATCTAATTATATATTTAGACTCGTGGGATTATGGGCCATCGGGATTTGGGCTCAGTTTCAGATTTAGACCATGTGGGGCCGGGTTGTCTTTTTATTAACTTTTGGAATTATGTCAAAGATTGAATCTTTATTGATTGGGGATATTTTCTTTAGCATTGTTTGACTTCCTTACATGATATTTGACTAGCTTTTGATCGTTTTGAGGAGTTTTTCTAAGAAAGGCGGTATTAAATTCTGGAATTGATTCTGAAATAAAGTAAGTGTCTTGCCTAGCTTTGTTGAGGAAATTTTTCCTAATAAAATGATATTGTTTGCTACATGTGGGGGTGATGCATATGCGAGGTGACGAGCGTATATGCATGTGTCAGGGTTATCCATGCTCGGGGTAGATTATATGATTCTTTATGCCTTGTTGAACTTTGTGATTTTCTTGACTTATGTTACACTTGATTTCTACAATAATATGAGTACAAATACAATGCTAGAGATCATACTTTAGCTTATTACAACTTAATTAAACAGGATGGACTTTTTGTGAGATTGTCGATGTGCTAAAATCGCACGTAGCAATACCTATATCATGAACACATATTTATGTACGTTATTTCTTAAGATACTTAGATTCCAAATGTTTGAGCCTAGTTGAGATACTTGAACATTGGAGGTTCTTGAAGTTTATTGGTGCAAAAGCTGTGATTATCTTTAATCACTCTTCTTGACATTATCTATGCTTCCTACCTTGCTTGGTGTTGATGTATAAATACTTGGTGAGGAAGAGTGAATTGCGCGAAGGGTGTTTGCGTGCTTGTGAAGAAGAGTGATTTATGCACGAAGGGTGATTTTATGCTTGAGGGAAAAGAGTTATTTACGTAAGAAGGGTATTTTTGTGCCTCTTGACATTATTATTTAAGCACGAAGAGTGTTTTTGTGCTTATTGATATCATTAATAAATCATGAAGGGGGTTTCCGTGCTTTTGGCATTATTATTTAAGCACGAAGGGTGTTTTCGTACTTCTTAATATTATTATTATTATTGCACGAAAGGTATTTTCATGCTTAGTGAGGAAGAGCGATATAATAATGGAACGAATAGTGTTTCCGTGCAGGCATTATGAGATTAAGAAATAACAAGGCAAGAAAAACAAGGCAAGAAAAATAATAATAGAGAATGCAAAAAAAAGACTTGAATCAGAACCAAAATAGAAGGACAAACAAAGTAAAAAAGAAACGGCATGTTAGATTTTAAACCATCCAAACAGGACTTGCTACAAAAGGGTGATATGATCATTAAAGGTGTTACGTAAATACAAGTTTAATAGTGATTAAATTATAAAATAATTAGTATATATAAAATCTTAAATATTAGGACTTTCAATAAAGTTTTATTAAGGAAAAATTCATTAGCAAAATTTTTAGTTGAATGATCTACAAATTGATTTACTTTAACGTTTAAATTGGGGAATATTTTCTTTCGAAATACTTGAAGTAGTAAAGTTTAAGAATATAAAACATATAATTGACGACTAAGGTTTTAAATGTCACGACTCAAAATTCACTATAGGCCGTGAGGGCGCCTAACTTCACTTGCTAGGCAAGCCAATCCATTAAACACTTAGAAAATCGGATTATAAGAGTTGAATTCGATTCTATAAGTATTTTAGTATGTTAGGTTGCCTAGCAAGTGGAGTTAGGCGTCCCCACGACCTATGGCGAATTTTTGATTGCGATATTAAGTGAGTAATTATGGACTCCAACTCTAAGAATATCAAATAGTTCCATAAGAAAGGAAATTAAGAAGGCAAAATTATTCTTGTATGATTTTTTAAAATACAACGGACAAAGAACGAGTTTTTGGTCAATATTGTCCCTTATCTTTAAGGGTAGGTCTATTTTGGTCCCTCAAAAATAACCTTGAGCATCTTTAGTCGCTTAAGTATGCTAAAGTGGAGCACCTTTAGTCTCACTGACACAATATGTTCAAAAACTAACGGTGTTACCCAACTCTGATTCATGAAGCAAATCTTCTGCTCTGAAGCAAAACGTTTCATCTCCTTTTATAGGATACACAAATTATCACTTTAATTCCTCATTTTAGATAATGTCTTCTAAAATTTTGACCTTAACAATATCTCCTTCTATGCCAGTTTTTAATGAGAAAATGACACTGTATAGCTGCTGTAAAAATAATAGCCGAAAAAGGTATAGAATTTGTATGTGTGTGTGTGTGTGTATATATATATATAATACAAATTTTATATACTTTTTTCGCTACCAAATGTAAATAATTTCTGGCAAGGGATAAAAGTGATAATACAACCTAGTTATTCGTTTGCTTCAATAATATGCCTAGAAGTGATCCTGGCAGCTCTATTTTTTTTTTTCAAATTTTAACTTTTCTTTTTGAAAAATTCAGCCGGGATTTTTAAATGCATATATATACAAAAA